CCGCCGTGAGCACCTGGGGGTCAGAGCGAAAAGGGGGTCAGAGCAACCCCCCATTAAGTACCTTCCCCCCTCCAATCCCAGCCCCTGAGCCACGGCCCCCACTTCATTCTGCACCTCTCCCCCGAGCCATGCGCCCCCCCCCCTCAAGTGAGCAGCCCGCTACCTTGTGCTCGGGGGAGCGCTGGTTGACGCAGAGCGAGTGGACGGAGCGGGGCGTGCAGGGGATCTGAGCCCGGAGCTCCCCGCTGATCTGCAGGTGGTTGATGGCCGGGCTGTGCCCTGCCGAGAGGATCTGGAGGAGAGCGGGGCGGGGGTTAGCCAGAGACGTGGGGAGAGCGAGCGGAGCAGCGTACAGGGGCCCGGGACACGCTGGGAGAAGGGGGAACAGGAGACAGCAGAGCCCAGGGCCTGACCGACTGGCGCCGGCATTACAAACGGAACGGGGACCGGAACAAACAAGAGAAGCAGCGAGGAACAGAGACCGGCAGACCGACCAGGCAAACGAAGGCCGGGGCCAGAGAGAGAAGGAAAGAAGAGGAGAGCACACAGAGAAACGAGAGAGAGAACAACAAAAGGAGCGAGAAGTGAGAGAACAAAAGCATCAGAATGAAAGAAGGGAAAAGGGAAAAGGCAGAACAAAGGAACCCGTAGAGAGAAGGAACAAAGGGAGACGCAGGGAACAGAGCAAAGGAAGAGCCCGAGGAAAGGAAAGAGGAAGAGGCTCGCAGAACGAGAACAGACCCAACGAGCCAAGCACAGGGACAAGGAACAGGTGAAATAACGAGCGGAAGAGAACGAGAGCGAGAGCTGAACGAAGGTGAGAGAGAAGAGAGGTAAGGAGAGTTCCCCAGGCCAGCGAGCCAGAGGGGAGGGAGGAGGACGCCCGGGCCAAGGGGTGCAGGGCTGGGAGGGGCTAGGGATGTAATCGTGGAGGCAACGAACCGAGTCACCGAGAAGCGAAAGTGGACAGGTTCAGGCGACAGACCACACGCATTTCCCCGGCTTGCCAGGACATATTTCAGCAGGCTGGCCAGCAGCCTAGATCCTGGGACCTACCCCCGCTGCAGCCCTGCATTTCCAGGGTATTAGGAGCCGGGCGGGCAGGCAGCCTGGCTCGCGCTGGGTTCGGGAGCAAGGCCTCCACCCCACTCCCACCCAGGGGCTGCTGCCACCCTGCAGTGCAGGGGAGGGCCACCCTGCAGTGCATCGGAGGCAGCCGCGCAGGGCGACAGGCAGCCGGCCCACGAGGGGGGCTGGCTTTAAACTGGCTCCCCTCGCGGACCAGCTCCCGCCAGGCACCCACGTGGCTGCCCCGATCCTGAGGCAGCAGCGCGGAGGCAGGGGGCTCCTCAAGAGTGGGGCTGGAGCGCATGGGCTGCCGGGGACGGTCAAACTGGCGCCTCAGCGACAAGAACCCATGAGACCAGACCCTGGGCCAGACCCACCTCCTCAGATCAAACTGTGGAAGAGCATCGGCACGACCACATAGCCAAAGGGTACAAGCAAACAAACCAAAGTGAACACATCAAAGACAAATCCGATTGTAGAACAGAGGGGCGGTGAGGGGGAGCTATCTTCCCCAATTATCACCCCAACATCATCATCTCCTAGACACTAACCTCCCCCTCACCCACCCTCTGCTCTAAAGTCTGACTGGTCTGTTTTACAGGCGTCCGCTTTTTGGATTGTACCCTTTGGGATATGTGGTTGTGCCACTTTTCTTCCACAGTTCGATCTGAGGAAGTGGGTCTGGCCCAGGAAAGCTCCTCCCCTAATAAACCATCTTGTTAGCCCTTAAAGTGCTGCACAGCCCCAGACCAGACTGACACGGCTGCGTCTCTGTTGCTATAAGACCCCGTGAGGTTACTCGGAGACGTCACACCCCTAGCGGGGCCACTCACCAGGTCCTGGTAGAACATGACGTGCTGCTGGCAGTGGGGCAGGGGAAAGACCGTGGTGGGGGTCACGGAGCGCAGGTGCCAGAGGGTGAGTGCCGGGCCCCCCCCGCACACCTGAGGGAGAGATGGGGTCAGACACCACGGCCCTGCTCTGCTCACAGGAGGAGGGAGGCATCCCATGAGCCTCTGCTTCCCAGGCCAGCTGGGAGAGAGGACAGCGACCAGACCAGTGCATCCTGGGACCCCCCCGGGCTGGCGCTGGGCATCCCGTAACCCGCCACTGGCTGGGGGCCGCGCGCGCCCGGACAGCTCCCGTGCGTGCCAGGAGCGTTCCTGTGGGGCAGGAGCACCCCGGCTGGGCGCCATGCGTCCTGAGAGCCCCTGGGCCAGGCACAGCGTGTCCCGGAAACTCCCCACCAGGTTCCTCCTCAGCCCCCCGACTGGGCACCACGCGGCACCGTGCATTCAGGGAGATCCCTAGCCCCACACCTGGGGGCTGGTATCTTTACTGCCCCAGGGGCAGCAGGGGAAGCTCCCAACCCAGAGCCTCCAGCGCCCCCTGCTGGGAACTCACCATCCAATCACAGTCTGCACAGCGTGTCCCGGAAACTCCCCACCAGGTTCCTCCTCAGCCCCCCGACTGGGCACCACGCGGCACCGTGCATTCAGGGAGATCCCTAGCCCCACACCTGGGGGCTGGTATCTTTACTGCCCCAGGGGCAGCAGGGGAAGCTCCCAACCCAGAGCCTCCAGCGCCCCCTGCTGGGAACTCACCATCCAATCACAGTCTGTAGCCAGGCAACGGATCCACTTCCCGTTCTGGGGGCGGCTGCATTCCTGGGGGAGGGGAAGGAGGGACCGTTGGGGGCTGGGAAGCAGGACTCCTGGGTTCTGGGGAGGGGAGTGGGGACTAGTGGTTAGAACTGGTGGGGGAGGGGGCTATTTTTACCTCGTATTTGTGCACTTCAATGACCTGGACCTGTGCCCCGGTGCGTAGATCTGCAGCACAAAGACTCAGAGTGAGGGGGTGGGGTCCCCTTCACCTCCCCCCCTCAGTCATTCCCTGCCCCCAGCAGAGAGACAGCAGCTGGACAGGCCAGCATAACCCGCAGCCTGTAGCAGGGGCACATGGACAAAAGCAAAGGGAGAGGGACCCAGCTCCCAGCTACCCACTCCCCATGCCAAGGGGGCTCCCCAGCGCCTCACCCCACATGCGCACGGTGCCGTCCTCGCTGCCCGACAGGCACTCCTGGTACTGGTCCCGCAGCGCCAGGCAGTGCACGTAGTCACTGTGCCCCCGGAACTCGTGCTGGGGAGACACAGACGACAAGTGGGTGGAAGGGGCTGGATAGATGGACGGACAGACAGATGAGGCAAATGGGGCCAGACAGACAGATGGGGTGGACAAGGCCAGACACACAGACGGATGAGGGTAGGGATGGGGACAGATAGACAGATAGGGCTATGAATGGAGACAGACAGACGGGAGCAGACAGGGATAGAGGGACATGCAGAAGTGAGCAGGGACAGACGGATGAGGGTAGGGACGGGGACAGAGACAGATACAGTTATGGATAGAGACAGACGGGAGCGGACAGGTACAGATGGACATGCAGACAGGCACACAGCCTGTTTCAACGTATTCCTGTCCATTCCCCATGCCACTACACGCCCCCACACACAACCCCCGCAGTCCCCAGCTGGCCCTGAAGCGCCCCCTATCCCTCCACTCACAGTGAAGGTGCCGGACTCCAGATCCATGGCGTGCACAGAGCAGTCGCCCCCCGCCAGAAGGAGGCTGTTATCCTGCAGGGGAAGGGCAGAGACAGCAGGTGAGAGGTGTCTGGGGGACTGAGAAACACCCCCCTTTCCACAATGCACCACAGCTCACCTTGGGGTTCAGCTGCAGGCTGTTGATCTCAGGCACCTCCAGGCTGCTCCTGGCGCAGGAGAGAAAGGGGGAGCGTGACAGCAAAGGGAGCAGGGGACATGGGGGAGGTGGGGTCTCACCTGTAAGGGGGTCTGCGGCTCCAGGCCTCCTTGCACCCCTGCAAGGGAGAGATGGGGAAAGATGGAGTCAAGAGGGACCCAGAAGCCTGGGGAGGGAGGGGCAGCGTGGGGAGGGACCCAGGAGCCCCAGGAGGAAAGGGCAGCGGCACATCTCACCTTCTTGACAATGTCACTCCAGTTCCAGGCCTTGACCTCGCCATTGCCGGCGCTCAGCAGCTGCCGCTCGGTGGAGACCATGGCGTAGACCGGGCCATCGTGGGCTGTGACAAGAGCAACGCAGGCATCAAGGCTGGGCATCTTGGGGGGGGGGTCCCCAGATGCACAATGGGAGCTCTCGGGCCTGACTAACTGCAGTGCATCCTGGGAGCTACTCAGCTTGGTGCAATGCATCTTGGGACCTCCCTGGCTTGGCAACACAGGGAAATTCCCTGGGATCTTCCCAGCTTGACATGAGAGGCCCCAATGCATGCTGGGAATCCCCCGTGTCGTTCCTCACTCCCTTGTCCCCAAGAGGCACCCACCTGTGAAGGACACCACCGGCTTCTTGCTCTCCTCCTTGGCTTCGGAGCTCAGCGCCGCCGAGAGACTGCAGGGGAGCAGAGGGGTGAGTGGGCGGGAGGAGCCCCAGGGACTGGGAGCGATGGGGACGGGGGTTACCTGAACACAGCGATCTCCCCATAGTTGTTGCCAGCAGCCAGGTACTTGCCGCAGGGCGAGACGCTCTGGGAGAAGACAGTCATGTGCAGCAGCTCCAGGGCGCGCTGGATGTCCATCTGTCGGCGGGAGAAGAGATAAGGTTGGAGGGACAAGCACTGGGGGAGCATCTCCCAGAATGCACCGGGGGCCGGGTAGCACCAACCCAGGGAGCTCCCAGAATGCACCGGGTCGGGTCCCGCCCCGCCGGGGAGCTCC